GACGGCGACGACTGGCACCCTGTGGAGTATTTCAGCCACAAAGTGCCTCCCATCAACTCGCTTGATGATGCAAGGAAGAAGGAGCTACTCGCGTTCGTCATGGCTCTCAAGCGATGGCGGCACTTCCTCCTTGGGCGTCGTAGGTTCACATGGGTTACGTACAACAATCCATTGACCTACTACAAGACACAGGATACAAGAAGCAGCACTATCGGACGCTGGATGTACTTCATCAACCAATTTGACTTCACACCGAAACATCTTCCCGGCCTCTCCAATCGCGCAGCAGATGCACTCTCGTGAAGACCTGATCTTTGCGCTATGACTCATCATGCCTTCGCATTCGACGAGGAGCTTCAGCGACACTTCATCCGGGCATACGAGTCTGATCCGAACTTCGGCACGCTCTATGCACAGCTATCTTCGGATCACCCGCCGGCCAGCAATTACCGCATTGCCGACGGGTACTTGCTCCTCCACTCGAGAGGCAAGGACTTACTATGTGTCCCACGCGACCGTCGTCTTCGGACTCGCCTCCTCGGCGAGTATCATGATTCGCGACTCGCCGACCATTTCAGAGTCAACCGCACTATTGCACGGCTTCGACAGCAATTCCGATGGCCTGACCTCATTACCGATGTCACTCGGTATTGCGACTCGTGCGAAGTTTGCCGACGCAGCAAACCCCGCAACCACAATCCCTATGGCGAGTTACACCCGATGCCTATCCCACGGGAACCCGGTCTCTCCATTGCCATGGACGTCCGTTTCCTGGCGACCGGCTCGGGCACGGCGGCATCCTCACGGTGGTGGACCGATTGAGTAAGTACTCGCGTTTTCTCCCTTGCAAGTACTACTCCACGTCTCCCGAGCTGGCACGCCTCCTGCACACTGGTTGGATTTGTGGCCACGGTGTACCAGAAGACATTGTCAGCGACCACGACACTCGTTTCATGTCGGCATTTTGGACTGCTCTCATGCAGGAGTCCAGCATAACAATGAAACCAAGTTCGGCTCGGCATCCACAGACAGACGGGCAGACGGAGCGGGCACATCAAACTGCTCAAATGATGCTTCGTACACTCATCCGTCCGGACCAGAAAGATTGGGTTGACCGCCTCCCCGACATCGAGTTCGCCTACAACACTTCGGTGCATCCGGCGATCGGCGTGACTCCATTCGAGTTGCACCACGGTGGACGGATAGGCCGGATCTTCGCCGACCTTCTCCTCCCTCGACCAGCCGACATTGACACTGCCTGCTCTCCCGCTTCCGTCCGGAAGTACAAGGAATTGCTGACTCAAGCCCGTGCAAATATGCAAAAGGCTCAAGTCCGCATGCAGCAGCAAGCCAACAGGCGTCGCGTACAATGTCCCATGCGCGCCGGTGATCTGGTTTGGGTCTCCGTGGAAGAGTTTGCATTGGAACAGGATGTTTCATGCAAACTGCTTCTCAAGTGGTTTGGACCTTGGTCTGTGACAGCAGCCGCGGGCGATGAGCCCGATGGCCCTTCATTTGTGATCAACATTCCAGAGCATCTGACGGTCCATCCGGTCTTCCACGCCTCGAAGCTGGCAACCTACACGCCAGACAAGAGCGGCGACTTTCCGGGCCGATGATCGCAGGACCCGTCATCAGGAAGTTGACCGCGTCATCTCCGATCGCAAGTACGGCAGCAAGCCGCGGCAGTACAAAGTCACATTCAAAGCATGCGATCGCGACGACACTCGCTGGATTTCAGGCGCAGATTTGAAAGCATCCGCACCGCTGATCTACGCGCATTATGAAAAGCGGAGGTTAGCTGAGGAAGCTTCACGACCAACCCCTCCCACCCGGATTGTGGTCCCTCCCTCAGACAGACAACTTCGCCCTCGCAGGTAAGCTCGGTTCTTCAAGGAGGGGCGGGGGTGGCATACTGCGTAGCCACACGGGCCCTGGAGGGTCCGTCCGGGACATTCAGCCTAAAAGCCTAAAACTTAGGGCTTACAGGCCCCGGTCGTTTCACCCTGAAAGCTGAAAAACGATGGCCTGCAGGCCCTACTCCGTTTCAGCCTATTTCTGGGTCTTTCAGACCCAGAGTTTTTCCAGCCTGAAACGGAGGGCCATTTTCAGGCCCTCATTGTTTCGACCTGCCCCTAAGACTCAGGCACGGAAACAGGGTTTCAGGAACTGGCCAGAAATAGCCTGTTCCCACGACCTTGAGCAGGAGCTGCAGCGCCAGCCCCTGCCTCCAATCGGCATTGGCAAGAGCATTCTCCTGGACTGCTCGCCTGCAGTCAGGAGGCACCCGTGGTAGTACA